CTCACTGCAGGCTCGACCTCCTGAACTCAGGTGATCCCTCTGCCTCAGCCTCCTGAGTAGCTGGGACTACAGGTGAGCGCCACCACACCCAGCTAACTTTTTTACTTTTTATTTTTTTTGTAGAGGTGAGGTTTTTGCTTTGTTTCTCCAGCAGATGTCGAACTCCTGGGTTCAAGCAATCTTCTTACCTCAGCCTCCCAAAGTGCTGGGATTACAGGTGTGAGCCACTGTGCCTGGCCAATTTTTATTTCATAAAGCAGAAATAATCTTACTTTTGTGCAAACTATGGAAGAGAAACTCGTATCCCAGTCTCAGTTCCCAAATTTTTGCTCTAAGTTTTTGACCTTTGATCTCTTAAATGAGAAATGATATTATGATGATGTGTGTCTCTCTCTCTCTGTGAAGAAACTATGCAGAAGAGAGGACCTCTATGCAGGAGGCTGTGCCAAGGAAGCTGCAATACTAGCTCCAACAGTGTGAAGATAAAATGAGTTTGAGAAGATTGAAAAAAAAATGTTGCCAAATCTCCTTCTGTAGGGATAGATTTGCATTCCCACCAGCAATAGACAAAAGAACCTATTTATCTGCCTTTTATTTTCTCAGTATGTTGTCAAACTTTTAGATATTAGTCAGTTAGATAGGTAAAAAATGGTGCCACGGTGTTGTTTAGATATGCATTCCTCCTATAATGTGCATTTTTTTTTTAATGTTAAGGCCCATTTTCCCCCCTTTGTGCACTTTTTCCCCCTTCTCTGCAGTATCATTTGACTATCTTTTTAGGAGATTGTTGGTCTTTTTTTGTTCCCTCAGATTTTTAGGTGCCCTTTGTATATTATGATATAGGTTGCAGATATTTTTTCTCAGTTTTTCCTTTGTGCTTTGACTTTTTGGGTAGTACTTTTTTTGTGTTTCTTAATGCAGTTGAATTTATTTTGCATCATTATTAGGAAGGTTCCCCCCGCCACCTGAGTCAATTGTTTCTTTTAGTATTTTTGTGATTTCTTTTTTACTTTTGGATCTCTGGCCTATTAGGGATTATCCGATTGTACAGAGAGACTAAAATTTGAATCAACGTTTAGACTTTTATTTTGTTGTATCTGTCTCCTAATTGTTAATATAACACTGTTTTAACTTTTAGGATGTTTTTAGAATGTATATATTATCATCTGGTAGTGCTACTTTGCACAGTCCCTCTCTCCAGTAGCCTTGCTTTCTCTTGAACTATGAATGATTATGAATGATTCTTTTTCTTCCTCATGTATACTCCAGTCAGTGAAATAATGATCCAACTTTCCAATCCTCTGTTAGAACAATTCTAGGCATCTTACTCTTCTCAGACGGTCCCCAACAGGATCACACCTTGGCTGTCTACACTATTACTGTTCTCATTAACACCTGCCTTATTGACCTTTCTCCCTTCTTGGTCTTGCTTCCTCACTCATGCCCCCATATCTCACCTTCCAGATAAACAAGTCTTTCTCTATAGGTCTACTTTTAGCTAAGAGTCATTTTGGGGTTTTTTCCTAGATATAAAAGGTATCAACTACCATTACCCAAGTATTTATGTTTATATATGTGTGTGGTGGTAGAGAAAGCAAGGAAGAAGTGATGTCCTGTTCTAATTTAGTGGTTCAAAATGTAGATGTTTAGTTTATTCTCTTGATTATTTTCCCACGACTCATATCTGCTCTTTATATTCTTCAGCCTTGTAACATCTCTGGAATAATACTCTTGGGAAGAACTGGCACCATCTTCCATGTTTTGAGCTGAAGTTCCCAGGTATCTATTTCCCTCATCAGCTTGATCCCGTATGTTTTCATTTTTATTTTTGAGTTGGAGTCTCACTCTGTCACCTAGACTGGAGTGCAGTGGCATGCTCACAGCCACCCCAGCAAAGACCTGCTGGGCTCAGGCAATCCTTCTGCCTCAGCCTTCCAAGTAGCTGCAAATACAGGCGCATGCTACCACTCCTGGTTGGTTTTTGATTTATTATAGAGATAAGGTCTCGCCAACTTGCCCAGGCTGGTCTCGAACTTGTGGGCTCAGGCAATACTCTCACCTTGGCCTCCCAAAGTGCTGGGATTACATACAGGCTTGAGCCACCACAGTCAGTCTGTTTTTATATTTATATGCATATAAATATTTATTATGTATATTTATATTTGATCCCATATGTTTTATAGTTTCTAGGTTTTTCTCAAACTTTTGAATATAGTGCTAACTGGCTTCCTCTCCGTTTTTTTTTTTTTTCCTGGTGTCTGGATATATATCTATGGCATCTATATTATTGAAGTAAAATTTGTTAGGCATATTTAACTGAGCAAGTTTCAAAATATACAGCTCACTAATAAGGGAGTTAGCCATTAGATAATTCCAGACAAATATAAAGTGACAAGGAAAAAAACTAGTTTAGATATATTTCTAACTGGGTACAAACTGCTATTTTACTTCATATGGTTATAAAATATATCACATATTTATTAATGAAAGAAAAGGCTAAATTTGTGAAATGGATGAATTGGAGTCATTTTCTTATAGCTGCCATGTGTGAACCAGTGATTGAAAATAAGAAGTAAAATATTTGAGAAGAAAATAAAAAGCAGATTGGTTTCTAATAACTGAATATACCTAGCAACACTTTTTTTTAACCCTCTGACAAAAAGCCAATTAGAACAGAGGCAACAATGAGCAATCAGAACAATCAATATCATTTGCCAACTGTAACCAAAGATGCTGACCACACAGTTGTTTAATTCTCAGTTTGTAGACAAAATGGATCTCTCAATCTCACTGTCTCTTGCTTCTTTCTCTCCCTCTTTCTTTGGTTAAATGGGTTTGTTCACCCTTGCCATTTTCCACACATAGCATAAAATTTTAGATTCTGCTCTCTCTCCATATGTCACATAGTAAATATTTCCCCGTTACTACCTATTTTTTCTATTCATTAGTCTTAAAGAAAAATAACCCACAGAGTGACTATGCCACTGTTTATGTGTTCACCTGCAAAGGTGTCTTTTAAGTTTTGAAATTAATAAGTGATCTGTGAAGCAATACTTTAAAATTTTTATTTTTATTTTTGAGTTGGAGTCTCACTCTATCACCCAGGCTGGAGAGCAGTGGCATGCTCACGGCCACCACAGCCTCAACCTGCTGGGCTCAGGCAATCCTTCTGCATCAGCCTTTAAGGAGCTGGAACTACCAGCACGTACTACCATGCCTGGCTAATTTTTTTAAAAAAATTTATTGTAGAGTGGAGATCTTGCCAAATTGCTCAGCCTGGTCTTGAACCTCTCAGTTCAGGCAATCCTCTCACCTTGATTTTCCAAAGTGCTGGAATTACAGGCTTGAGCCTGGCCGAAGTGATACTTGAAAACTATAAATAGGCTATTGCCTAATAATTTTTCAACAGGGACTTTAGCATGCATTCATGAAACTTGCCTAAATCAGTTATTTAGTTATTTATGGTAGCTACAAATGTTTATATTTTATTTCTAACCATGTTTTTTATTTGGCATTCTTCTGTAAAGAAGAAATCTTTCTTCTCACATTTTAATTTTAATTTAATTTTTGTATTGGTATGGAATCATGAATTCTTTGTAAAAAATTTAATGTGTTGTAATTATTTTTGTCAATATTAATTTTAATTGTCAAATTCCCATTGGCTTCCATCATCTTTCAAAATTCTTTTTATTTTTAAAAAAGTTTAAATAACAATTATGTATACATATTTAAGGTGTACAATGTAATGTTTTGATATACATATACATAGTGGCCTGAGTATTATTGTCAAGCTAATTAACATATATATCTCTTCACATAGTTACTTTTTATTTCCATGTGGTGAAAATACTTGAGACTTAATCTCTTAGCAAATTTCAAATATAAAATGCAGCAATACTAACTATAGTCCCTGTACTGTTCATTAGATTTCTAGAACTTATTCATCATATAAAACTGAAACTTCTTATTTTTTGGCAAACATCTTCTCATTTTCCATACCTCTCATCCCTGGTAACCACCATTTTACTTTCTGCATTCAAACTTTTTTTTTTTTTTGAACTGGAGTCTCACTCTCTCGCCCAGACTGGAGCTCAGTGGCCGCTCCCGGCCACCGCAGCCTCGACCTGCTGGGCTCCGGTGATCCTTCCGCCTCAGCCTTCCAAGTAGCTGGAATTACAGGCACGCATTACCACATCCGGCTAATTTTATTTTGATTTATTGTAGAGTTGAGGTCTCACCAAGTTGCCCAGGCGGGTCTTGAACTCGTGGGCTCAGGCAATCCACTCACCTCCGCCTCCCAAGGTGTGAGATTACAGGCTGAGCCACCGAGCCCAGCCAAACTTTTTAAGATTTTACATATAAGTGAGATTATGTAGTATTTTTCTTTTTGTGTCTAGTTTATTTCACTTAACATGAAATTCTATAGGCTCACCCATGTTGTTTCAAATGGCATAATTTTTCTTTTTTAAGGTTGAATTCTGTCGTGTGTGTGTGTGTGTGTGTGTGTATTATATATGTGTATATATATAATGCAAATATATATATGTGTGTATATATAATGCAAATTTCTTTATCCATTCATATGTTGACTGACTGTGTTTCCATATCTTGATTATTAAAATTCTGCAATGAACATAGGAGTACAAATATCTCTTTGAGATACTGGTATCATTTTCTTTGGGTATAAACCCAGAAGAGAGATTGCTGAATCATATCTATTCTAGTCCTTTTTCTTTTGACATTTGCAGTATTTCAAGATTTTTTTGGGGAGGGTTGTCTATTTGATTAGGCATTGTGCATAGCTTGTGGACTTTTGTTCCAACTCAATAGATTTTTCCAGTGAAATTGAGAGACAAATTTTTCCTAGTTAAAAATTAGCAAGAAATTCTGGAGGTCATCAAATAAGAATCAAATATACAGTCTTTCAGAAACAGAGTAAACAAGTTACCTTTTTACTACAAATGTCAAAGAATGATATAAAAGCTAGATTTTCTTCAGCCACATTACTTTCTTTTGTGAAAGTGTCTTCTAAAAAAAACAATGAAACAGTTAAAACTTACAGGTTTTGTTTTTTTCTTGTTCTTTGTGACTGAATCCCTAACCCTGCCTGCAAAGCCTCAGGATGTAGGTAAGACATTTACTTGTATTTCATCTAAGGCATAACCAAATTAGGATATTTTCTATTTTTAACCTTGTTTTATTTCAATTTAATTCTTCACTTTCTCCTCCTCTCATTAATTTATATAAACTGGTCAGCTATCCCAAACTTTATATAAACTGACCAGTTATCCCAAACCTTTATATAAACTGACCAGTTAGCCCAAATCTTTCCAGTATTCATATTTTGGTGGTCTTATTACCTAGTCTATATGCAGAGAGAGTTATCACACCTAGAAATGATCAACAATCTATGGACGGATTAAAAAGTGTTGTTGAGATATACAATTTGGATTTTAAAATACTAGTACTTCTTGTACATGTGTATAGTTTATGGTAACAGTGGAGCAATAGAGTTGGAACCTTTGGTTGTCCAACATATTTTCCAGTTATGTGGTAAAAATCTTTAGGGTATGCAGAACCTCGCTTTATCTTTGAACTGTACCATTTGTAAAATCCCTCCCAAGCCTAGCCACGACAGTCTCAGCCTGCAAGGTGGGATGACTTTTCTATTTCCTCTATCCAAAGGGGAAACTTTGAACAACATCTCTCCAGAGAAATTGTCTTTGTGTGATCCTTCTGGCCTAGTTACCTTACTGCAACTTAAAAAAAGGTGCCCTAAAAGTGGCAGAAACCCTGACAGTATGGGTTGTCTATTCAATTTGACAACCCCCTCCAGTGCCTGCTAGTGAGACCAAGACCAATCACAAGACTTAAAGAGAGTGGTTACTGTTTTATTTTTTAATGTTTTTGTTGAGTTGGCATTTCACTCTGTTGCCCAGGTTGGAGTGCAGTGGCATACTCACGGCCACTGCAGCCTTGACCTGCTGGGATTAGGCAATCCTTCTACATCAGCCTTTTAAGTAGCTGGGACTACAAGCATGCACTATCACACCCAGTTAATTTTTTGACTTATTGTAGAGATGAGGTCTTGCCATGTTGCCCAGGCTGGTCTCCAATCCATGGACTCTGGCAATCCTCTCGCCTCCACCTTCCAAAGTGCTGGGGTTATAGATGAGAGCCACCATCTCCAGACTTTTGAGTACTTCTTCTTTTTCCTTTGTAATCACTTGTTTCAAAACACTAGATTTTTGTCTTTTTTAGTACTTTTTATATCTATGCTTTCCTTTTCATTTCTGTGACTCTTACCAGTATTCAAATCCTGCTGATTTCTCATTAAGATGATTGCAAAAGTCTCCTAATGTCCTTCTTCCTTTTCTCATCCATTCAGTCTTCAATTCATTTATTTGACAAATAGTTTTTTGTCACATTCTATTTATGAGGCATTATGGGAGGTCTCAGGATCTTAGATATATCACCATCTGGCTGATATTTCTTAGTGAATAGAAATGACTGTGTTACTCTCTTATGTAAACATTATCTTTTCCTTTTCTTTTTCTTTTTCTTTTTTTTTTTGAGTTGTAGTCTCACTCTTGTCGCCCAGGCTGTAGTGCAGTAATTTGCTCACAGCCACTGCAGCCTCAACCTGTTGGCTTTAGGCATTCCTTCCACCTCAGCCTTTCAAGTAGCTGGAACTACAGATGCACACCATCATGCCCGGCTAGTTTTTGTAATTAATTGTAGAGATGGGGTCTCACCAAATTGCCCAGGCTGGTTTTGAACCCCTGAGCTCAGGTAATCGTCTCTTCTCAGCCTCCCCAAAGTGCTGGAATTACAGGCAAAGCCACCACACCCAGTAGTAAACATTTTAAATGGTTCTCCATGACTTCCAATTGAAGCCCAAATTCATCAGTTTTATATGCAAGACCCCCATAATCTGGACATAAGCCCTTTCTATTTTAAGTCCTATTGTTCCTCTTTCTGACCCACTTTCTCATCAAAATAAATTGGCTCTCCCTAAATACATACCAAGGTTTCTCACCTTCCTGACTTTATTCACATCATTGTCTCCACACAGAAAGACAGGGCTCCTCATTTTTCTGCTAGCTGCATCTCTTACGTTTTTCCATGCTCAACTCATATGCTACTCCTTGTATAATCCTTTTTTATTTCTTACCTAAGGATCATACAGCATTCCCAATTTAACCCCATTTTAAATTAGATCATCACTTCCACCAGAGAATGTTTAGGAACCTGAGGTGCAGGAAGAAATTTTAGTCATTCTCAATTGCTTCGTAACTTTCAGCACAACACTTTGCAAAAAATAAAAGGACTCCATAAATGTAGTCTATGTGAACACACAAAAATCTGCTCTGATTAGTGTATGCTCATTGGGAGTGAATCTATGATTTTAGGCAAGTCTGGAAATGACCTAAATATCTACATCTGACTAGCACTATAAACTATGCTGACCACCAGGACACTATGGCATCTCTCATCGGCCTCTCATGGCATTACACTGCCCATCAGTTAATCTATACATTCCTTTTCTAGTCATAAATGAGAGACACTTAGCATGGAAGTGATGCTTGTATTTGACATGAGCATACGGGGAGCCTTTAATGACATTTTTAAAGTCTGGTCAGTTTAAGATTTATTCAAATAAATTCAACTTGATGAATATTTCTTGAGCACATAATTGGCTATAATTAAGATTTCCTATTTGGTTCATATGTCTTTCCTTCTTGCCTAATATGCTGAATTATTTTCTTCCATTGATGTTTTATTTGATACTCATATATTTAAATATCATACATAGTTATTTATTAGGGAAGTGTTAAAATACCAGAATATGTGATAACCCAAATATCCTTGCTTTTCAGATTACTTCACCAGTACCCAGAAATATATAGAAGAGAACGTTGAATACATGTGAGTTGTGCTAATTGTGATGGTGATATTTATTATTATCTTAACTGATACATTCCAGAAATGTTAATGCTGCTCAGAAGTAATTTACTTAAACAGAAACCATATCAAAAAAGTAAATACAAAATTCATTATAAAATTAATGTGAGGCAATTGAACTTCCAGAAGCTGTAAAATGTGTAGCCTTCACATTTAGAGAATTTTCTCAGACTGGTGAGGATGTGTCTGTTTTTGTTAGACATAAGTGGAAATTCTGTAAATGATCTGTGTACCCTGTTGCAGCACCATCATTGCATTTGCTCAATATGTGCAGGAAGCAACCTTTGAAGAAATGGAAATGTTGACAAAAGACATGAAAGAATACAGAGATAGATGTCTGGCTGACAGGACACTCCCAGAGTGTGCAAAATTAGTTGTAAGTAAATTTCTTACATTTCTTAAATGCACAAGATTATTTGCCAACACTGAAGGAATTTCTGGCTTGAAAATACAAAAACAAAGAGATTGTGTGCACGTCATTTTATTTTGCCTAATTTTGGTACTTAGGATAAAGTACTTTCCTGGTGTATTATGATGCACAGAAAGAGTTGCAGGATGTAAGCATATGTCTTTTAATACAGTATGCCATATGTATATAGGCAGAGGAGGAAGCTGACAGCCCGAAAATGCATGCGGATGTATAAAAGTACCTTCCTTGGCTGCCTCTCTCGATATGTATTCTATGGTCACACCCCTTTTTCGGGCCTCCCCAAGTAGGAAAGATTTTGTGCTATGGAGGGGCTGCCACCATCTACATGCCTGGAAAAATACAATGAAATACCACTTCTAAACATTTTCCCAACACACTAACACACCAATATATTGTCACCTTGGGTGATGAGAAAATCTATGAGGGAAGACAAACACAGGCAGCAAGGAAAAAGCAAGAGGTTGAAGGGTCTTGTCATATAGAACAGAGAATGGTTCCCAAAGTGGAAATGGCTGTCTAGAGTGTGGGTAAAGATGTTCTCCTGGAGTGCACCTATTGTCACAGCTACTCAGGATGCTGAAGCTAGAGGATTACTTGAGCCCTGGGGTTCAAATCTAGCCTAGACAACATAGTGAGACTCTGGGAAAGAAAAAGAAAGAAAGAAAGAAAGAGAGAGGGAGAGGGAGAGGATGGGGGGAAGGGAGAGAGAGAGAGAGAGAGAGAGAGAGAGAGAGAGAGAGAGAGAGACAGAGAGAGAGAGAGACAGAGAGAGAGAGAGAGAGATTGCTTTGGGAAAATTGCAATCTCTTCCCCAAAGGATAATATCAATCATCTATTGTGCCCATCTTATTTTATCAGAAAATACAGAAGTATCTTTTTTTTTTTAACCTTGACTAAAAATTGTCCTTTTCTGTTGTCAAGAATAATGTTTTGCAGGAAAGATTTTGTGCTATGGAGGGGCTGCCACAAAAATATAATTTTTCACATTGCTGCAGTAAGGCTGACTTTGAAAGAAGACTCTGTTTCTTCTTTAACAAGAAAGCTGATGTGGAATTTCTGCCTCCTTTCCCTACCTGGGATCCTGAAGAAAAATGCCAGGCTTATAAAAATAACAGAGAATCTTTTCTAAATCAGTAAGTGTAAATTTAGCATAAAAATAATCTAATTAAAGAATTATTCTCTGGCTAAATTCAATACCTATCTCAAAGGAACATGGCTGGGTTTGTTGACTGATTAATTGATTGATTGATTAATTCTTTCAACAAGTATTATGTGTCAGATTCTGTGCTCAGTGTTGAGGACATAAATGTGATTAAATTATGGACCCTGTTTTTTTTTTTTAACCGATGTCTCAGTAAGTTTCAATATACCTTGTTGATCCTGCTTTCAAGACCTTATATTAATGAAAGATATCTTCTAATGTAATAAGCCCTCAAGCAAAGATGTATGCATAGGGTTAATTTGCTAGGAAGCACAGTGGAGGAAATAATATATTTTTCCCAATGGGAAGTTGTGGTTTTACCTCAGGCAGACACTAAATTACTGAATGTTTAGCAAAAAATCTGTTTTTAATATTGTAGTCAATGCAGAAGTAGAGACTTTTTCTAGAAGGCTGAATCATAAGTCTGTTTGAACATAAATAAATATGGTCCCTAAATCTTGAATGGAGTGTGTATAGATCGCTGTTCCTTGAATGTGAAAGGGAGAACTGCTGACCACCTGGCAGTGTGGAGGAAGAATAGCCTAGCTCAGTGCTTGGCATTAGAACTGCAATCTTCAGTTTGGGAGGCGGAGGTGAGAGGATTGTCTAAGTTCATGGGTTCAAGACCAGGTTGGGCAACATGATGAGACCTCATCCCTACAATAAATAAAAAAATTAGCCGGGCATGGTGGCACACATCTGTAGTTCCAGCTACTTGAAAGGCTGAGGCAGAAGGATTGCCTGAGCCCAGCAGGTTGAGGCTGCAATGGTCGTGAACATGCCACTGCACTCCAGCCTGGGCAACAGAGCAAGACTTTTGCACAAAAAAACAAAACTAAACAAAAACAAAACAATAACCCCAAAAGACAAAACCCTGCAATCTTCTTTCTTACTTTGGAGTTAGCAATTCAAGGATACAGATTTTAAAGGACTCATACTTAGAACTGAATAATGTTGCCTGACATTGAAGATTTCTATCATGGGAATGCCTTCTTATTTTTCACCTTCAGTTTTACAACTTGTTCTGGCTCTTCCCATCTTTTCTTTGCCTCTTCTTGTCCCCTCCCTCACCTTCCCATGTCTACCGTTCATTCTTTTCCTGTTTCTTTCCTTTCCCTTCTTCTCTCCTGTTTTCATTTTCTTACAGCTACATGTATGAAGTTGCCAGAAGGTACCCCTTTGTCTTTGCCACTACACTTCTGACTGTTGCTACTCGTTTTGAGGAGGTGGCCAAACCATGTTGTGAAGAGCAATACAGAGTCGACTGCTTTCAGACAAGGGTGCGTATGGCATTTGCTTCATGAAAAGGATAAGGAATCACCCAACACCACAGATCTAGATCCTCACTTAAAATTAAACTGAAGCAAAAGGTTGACTTACTGTAGGTGACATTTTCTTGTCACATTCACTGTTTTTCAAAACATTGGTCACTAGCTGCTGATCTAAATAGTCTCATTACCAGAGACAATTGAAAGACAGTCACTCCTCCCCAGGATTTTCGTTCTGGCTTTGTTTTCTTTGTAAATGGGAAGGAAGCTCTAGTGAGTGAATACCCAGAGTGAAAGATGACTTTATTTATTTATTTTTTTGAGTTGGAGTCTCACTCCGTTGCTCAGGCTGAAATGCAGTGGCATGCTCATGGCCACCCCAGCATTGACCTGCAGGGCTCTGGCAATCCTTCCGCCTCAGCCTTCCAAGTAGCTGGAACTACAGGTGCACGCTACCACGCCTGGCTAATTTTTAAAAAATTTATTGTAGAGACGAGGTCTCGCCAGGTTGTCCCGGCTGGTCTCAAACCCGCAGGTTCAGGAAATCCACTGGCCTCGACCTCCCAAAGTGCTGGGATTACGGGCTGAGCCACCGAGCTTGGTGGAAAGATGACATTTTATCTTTTATCTTTGACAAGCCCTCTTGTGGCTACAAATAAAATGGAATTATCTCAGAACTGGCCGAGCTCACAGCATACTGCCCTACTGGGAGACACCATGCACCTTTCTACCAAGTGCAATATAATCATTGGAAAGACTAATCTCCCCTTTGTAATGTGCCACAGATACATATTTCTTTTGATATGTAAGTTTACTAGAATAAAAATCCATGGATTTTCTGTTTTTGAGCAAATTTTGTAATAGTTTGATTGACATGCAATTAAAAAAAATAAGAGAATAGTGAGATCTTGCTTTTGTTTCAACAGAATTTTTTTTCTTTCTTTTTCAGGTAGCACCTGTCACACAGTATTTAAAAACATGGTCTTCTTATTCAAAAAATGTCTGTGGGGCATATTTTAAATTTGGACCCAAAGTCTTAAACTCTATGTGAGTTTATACAAGCTATGAAGCATACCTTCACTTGCATTTTCTTGTCTGTGTTCCATTTTAAAAAAATGATTGATGACTTTTTGTTAAGATTCTTCCTAGTTCCCCTGGGATTTCGAGGTGGGTTTGAGTCTACATGGATAGTGGAGAAACAGGACTTTAGGTTGAGATGAGAGAAGACTTGGGAGGTAGATAGATCCAAAGAGAAGGGAGCTAGTACTGAGACACATTTTTGTCCATTGGGAATCTTAACTGGTCTGGGAGTTTCAAACCAGGGTTTTAAGATCCCCCTAAGTGCTTTAGACATTACTCATCCATCTGTCATTGACCTTAAATGATGAGGAGAAAACCCTGCACTCGCAAGGCCACATTTTAATGCCAGTGCTCACCTTAATCGATTAATAATGCTGCTAAAGCAGTATCTTTAGAAAGATTTTGAGATTTCAAGTAGATCAGAAGAGAGTTCTGTGAAGGATCATCTCTACCTGCCATAGGCTCACCATAGGAAGGGTGGTCCTTATACAGTGTTTCTTGCTATAATAATTATGGAAAAGAGCACATCTCTCAGGGCTTTTTTTTTCCCCCCTAAGACCCAGAACTCTGGGTATCTCAAAATATCAGCCTAAGGTTTAAGTAATTGGGTCTCAATGCCTTTTGGAGCTATTTATATGGTATTAGCAAATAACTCCCACTTGTTTTACTTACTGTTTAAATTACTTTAGTGGCTTATAAATTCTGTTTCCAGAAATGTTGCTACACTCAGTCAAAGCTTACCCAAGATGAACTTTAAGGACCTTACTTCCCTTGTAGAAGTTGTTTCTTCTATCTATGATGGATGCTGTGAGGGGGATGTTGTGCAGTGCATCCGTGACATGGTAAATATTCTCCAAAACCAAGTAAAAATTGTGATTTTTGGCAACATTTTAAATTCTAAATTGGTTGAAGTGTGGCTACATTACCACAGTGAAATCGGAATGATAATCAATTGTCAAACAATAACATAAAATGAAATATAAAAATGTTACAAATAAACCCCAAACAACCTTGGTTTCTGTCAAATACATGTTAGTTTTAAAGATCACTCAGTAGATTGTATTTTATATGAATGACGTAAAATCTCAAGAATTTATAATTTTTGAAAGCCTATTTAGCCCAGATGGAAATTTTCTTTTACATTGTAAATTTCCTTTCAGGGATTTAAGAAGTTTTTGTTTTTTGTTTTTGTTTTTGCTTTTGGAGTTGGAGTCTCATTCTGTTGCCCAGGCTGGAGTGCAGTGGCACGCTCATAGTCACCGCAATCTCAACCTGCTGGATTCAGGTGATCCTTCAGCCTCGGTCTTCTAAGTAGCTGGAACTACAGGCATGCGCCACCATGCCTGGCTAATTTTTATTTATTTATTGTAGAGATGAGGTCTCACCAAGTTTCCCAGGCTGGTCTCAAACCCATGAACTCGGGCAATCCTCTAACCTCAGCCTCCCAAAGTGCTGGGACTATGTGTGTGAGCCATCGTGCCCAGCCTAGAAGTTCTTTTTTTTAATGTGATTTTATTTCTTTATTTAATTTTAAAGATGTGGAGTGCAATTCAGGAGTAGGCATACAAGTGGTCATCATATAGATAAAGTTTGGGCCTCCCTTTGGTCTCTACTTTGCCTGGTTTGAGATCAGGTACCCTTATTGATGTTATGTGCCCTCCCCTCCCCTGGCAGTTTCCCACTACTGCCAATCCCTTTCTTATAGTATTATGGTAAATGTTCAGGGTCTGCTTATGAGTGAAAACATATGGTACTCAGTTCTTTATTTTTGTGATAAATCACTGAGTATTATAGACTCTAAATTCATCCAAGTTGCTGTGAAATTCATGGTTTGTCCTTCTTTATGGCTGTGTAATATTCCACTGTGTATATGTACCACATTTAAAAAATTCGGTCTTCTTCGATGGGCATTATGGTTGGTTCCATGTTTTTACTTTGTGAATACAGCTGCAACAAACATGCGTGTGAAATTATCTTTTTTGTAGAATGATTTAAGTTCCTCCGGGTATATTCCCAATAGGGGGATTGCTGGGTCATATCGAAAGTCAGTTTCTAGTTCTTTCAGATATCGCCAACTGTCTTCCAAAGAGTCTGCGCTAGTTTGCATTCCCACCAGCAGTGTAGAAGCGTTCCCTTTTCTCTGCATCCTTGCCAGCATCTGTTGTTTGTTTTATTATTGATGGCCATTCTTACTGGGATTAGGTGGTATCTCAATGTGGTTTTGATTTGCATTTCTCTGATGATGAGTGAGCACTTTTCATGTGTCTATTGGCTGCCTGTATATATTATTTTGAGAAGTGTCTATTCATGTCTTTTGCCCACTTTTTAATGGGGCTGTTTGTTTTTTTCTTTTTGGTACATTTGAGTTCCTTGTAGATCCTAAATGTTAGGTCTTTGTCAGATATATAGTTGGCAAATATTTTTTCCCATTCTGTGGGGTGTCTCCCTGCTCTCTTAATGGATCCTTTTCTTAGAAGAAGCTTGTTATCTTGATGGGGTCCCACTTGTCTATCTTATTTCTTATGGTATGGGCACTTAGGGCTCTGCTCAGGAATTGGTTGCCAGTTCCAATTTCCATAAGTGTGTCTCCAGCATTTTCTAAGATTCTTATAGTTTGAAGTTTTACATTTAGGTCTTTGATCCATTTAGAGTTAATTTTTGTATATGAAGATAGGTATGGGTCCTGTTTCAATCTTCTTCATGTGATCAGCCAGTTTTCCCAGCACCATTTACTGAATAGGTTCTCCTCTCCCCAGTGGTTGTTGTTGGAGGCTTTGTCAAAGATGAGTTGATTGAGAAATTGAGACTTTGCTTCTGGAATCTCTATCCCGTTCCATTGATATCTATGCCAGTTGTACCAATACCAGGCTGTTTTGATTACTGTAGCCTTATAGTAAAGTTTGAAGTCTGGAAGTGTGATATCACCTGCTTTGTTTCTTTTGCTATGGATTGTTATGGCTATTTGTGGTCATTTATGTTTCCATATGAATTTCTGTATTGTCATTTGCAGGTCTGAGAAGAATGATGTTAGTAACTTAATGGGTATTACATTGAATCTGTAGATTGCCTTTGGTAGGATGGACATCTTAACAGTGTTGATTCTTCCTATCCATGAGCATGGAGTATTTTTCCATTTGTTTGTGTCTTCTTCAATATCTTTGAGCAGTATTTTGTTGTTCTCATTGTAAAGGTATTTCATTTCTCTGGTTAGGAAGAAGCCAAGCTATTTCTTTTCTTTCTTTCTTTTTTTTTTTTTTTGCGGCTATTGTGAATGGGATTGTACTTTTTATTTGGTTCTCTCCCTGCTTGTTATTGGTGTATAAGAATGCAACTGTCTTTTGCACATTTGTTTTGTACCCTGAGACTTTGCCAAAGTCCTTTATCAGTGCAAGGAGGTTTTAGACAGATACTTTTGGATTTTCAAGATATAGGATCATATCATCAACAAAGAGGGATAACTTGGCTTCCTCTTTTCCTATTTGGACACCCCTGATTTCCTTCTCTTGTCTAATTGCCCTAGCTAGGACTCCCAACACAATGTTGAACAAGACAGGTGAGAGTGGGCAGTTTGTTCCAGTTTTCAGGGGAAATGTTTCCAGTTTGTGTCCATTTAGCAATATGCTAGCTGTGTGTTTATTGTAGTTGGCACTTACTATTTTGAGGTATGTTCCTTATATACCTAGGTGTTTGAGAGTTTTTATGAAGAAGGGAGGCTGGATTTTATCAAAAACTTTTTCTGCATCTAATGATATAATCATGTGGTTTTTGTTTTTGCATATGTTGATGTATTTAATTACATTTAGGGTCTTGTGAATGTTGAACCAGCCCTGCATCCTGGGGATGATGCCTACTTAGTCATGGTGGATGATTTTTGACATGCATTTTTGGATCCGATTTGCTAGAATCTTGTTGAGGATTTTTGCATCTCTGTTCATAAGAGATATTGACCTGTAGTTCTCTTTTATTGTTGGATCTTTATCCGGTTTGGGTATCAGTGTGATGTTAACTTCATAAAATGATTTGGAGAGAGCTCCAGCTGTCTCAGTTGCCTGGAACACTTTCAACAGGATTGGTGCCAGTTCCTCTTTGTACATTTTGTAGAATTTTGCTGGAAAGTCGTTCGTCCAGGGCTTTTTTTTTTGTAGGTAGTTTTCTTATGACAGAGTCAATTTCCTGGGTTGTTACTGGATTTTTTTTTTAATCCAGTCTATTTGTGAGGGGCAGTTTGGTTAGTTCCATGTTTTTGTAATTGTAGATAGTGCTTCAATAAACATGTGAGTGCAGGTATCTTTTTTGTAGAGTGATTTAAGTTCCTCTGAGTATATTCCCAGAAGGGGAGAGATGTTAGAAATTTGTTGTAAAGCTCAGGGACTAGTCCTGATGTTTTAAGAGCTGCTTTCTCTGAACTCCCTCAGGCTATTTTTGTATAGTCTTTCCAAATAAGTAGATACTTTAATCTAAAATAATTTCTTTCAAGGTCCACTTATGAGTGAGAACATGTGATACTTAGATCTTTGTTTCTGTGAGAGATCACTCAGTAGTATAAACTCCAGTTCCATCCAGGTTGCTGTGAAATTAATGATTTTGTTCTTTTTTATGGTTGTGTAATATTTCATTTTGTATATGTACCACATTTTAAAAATCCAGTTCTCTTTTGATGGACACCATGGTTGGTTCCATGATCTTGCTATTGTGAACAATGTTGCGATAAACATACCTGTGCAGGTATCTTTTTTATAGAGTGATTTGAGTTCTTCAGGGTATATTCCCAGTAGGGGGATTGCAGGGTCATATGGAAGGTCAATTCTTAGAGCTTTTAGGAATCGCCACACTGATTTCCATAGAGGCTGCACTAGTTACACTCCCACCAACAATGTAGAAGTGTTCCCTTTTCACCACATCCTCTCCAGCATCTGTTATTTTTTGTTATTGATAATGGCCATTCTGACTGGAGTTAGGTGGTATCTCAGTGTAGTTTTAGTTTGCATCTCCTTGATGACTAGTGAGGTTGAACTATCGTAATACTATAAGAAAAGGATTGACAGTTGTGGGAAACTGGGGGGCAGGGAGGGGAAGGGAGGTGGAATTAATGGTAGTCAATATCTGTCTGGGGATGGGGGGGCACACCTCATCAACAAGGGTACCTGCACAATACATATTTGTATACCTAACCCTTAACTGTACCCCACAATTTTAAAATAAAAAATATGTTAAAAAAGAAGAAAACTGTACATAAAAAATAAATAAAAATAATAATGTGCAAAGGACATGAACAGATGTTTCTCAAAAGAAGATATACAAATGGCCAACAGGTATACGAAAAAAATGTACAACATCACTAAACATCAAGGTAACATAAATCAAACTACAATGAGATATCATGTTAGACGTCTTAGTGGACTCATAGACTGCTGGTAGAAATGGAAGTTAGAAGAGCCATTATGGAAAACAGTAGAGAGATTTCTCAAAAAACTAAAAGCAGGGCTACTATATGGCCCAGCAATTCCACTACTAGGTATTTATCCAAAGAAAAATAACTCAATGTACCAAAGGCTTGTCTTCACTCCCCTGTTTATGTTGTGCAACACTATGCACAGTAGCAAAGATGTGGAATCCATCTAAGTGTCCAACAATGTATGAATGGAGAAAGTAAATGTAATATATACATTAAAAGAATAATAATAATTTCTTTCTTCTCCCTCCCTCTCTCCTTCCCACCCTCCCTCCATTTTTTTCTTTTTTAACTGACAATTAAAAGTTGTGTATTCTTATGATGCACATTATGTATACATACACACATTTTAGGATGTCTAAATCAAGCTATTTTAACATACGCATAACCATATTTTTTGTGGTGAGAACACTTCAAATCTTAGCAATTTTTAAGTACTCAGTTGGTATTAACTAAAGCCACCACAGTATAAAATAGATGTCTTGAACTTACTCCCTCTATATAACTGATATTTTGTATCCTTTGACCAACATCTTCCCAATTCCCTCACTCCCAGCCTCTGGGAACATTTAGAGTAATTCTCTAGAGAAAATATATGGTAGATATATTTTTGGCATAGTTTAAATTCTTTATGCACTCAAAGGTAATATATATTTTTTTGAGTTGGAGTCTCACTCTGTCGCCCAGACTGGAGTGCAGTGGCCGCTCCCGGCCACCGCAACCTCGACCTGCTGGGCTCCAGCGATCCTTCCGCCTCAGCCTTCCAAGTAGCTGGAACTACAGGCGCGCGCTCCCACGCCCAGCTAATTTTTTGATTTGTTGTAGAGATGAGGTCGCACCAAGTTGCCTAGGCGGGTCTTGAACCCGTGGGCTCAGGCAATATACTCATCTCGGCTGCCCAAAGTGTGGAATTACAGGCTGAGCCACCGAGCCCGGCTATAATTTTTTAAATTAAGAATAATCATGACTTGTTCCTGTAATCCCAGTTACTCAGGAAGCTGAGGTGGAAGGATTGCCAGAGGGCAGGATCTGAGACAAGCCTGGGCAGCATAGGGAGATCCTGTCTCTAAAAAAACATTAAAAAAAAAAAAAAACTTTGCTGGGTGTGGTGGTATGTACTTGTAGTATCAGCTGCTCAGGAGTTTGCGGCAGGAGGATAGCTTGAGCCCAGGAGTTCAAGGTTACAAGGAGCTATGGTCATACCACTAGACTCCAGCCTGGGTGACAGAATGAGACCGTCTCTAAAAATAACAACAAACCACTCATCCTCTCCACCTCCCCACAAAACATAAAAAAACTGACTTCCTTTTAGCCGTTAGGGTTTATTTTATGTTAGTGACTTTTAATTAGCTTAACTATTTTAGGCTTACAGTGAACAACAGATATGCTGAAGAGTTATTTTGTCCCTAATTGTACCCCAATGAAAGCAATCTCACTTGAAATTTATTTTTGTATTGTTTGATTGTTTCTGTAAAATATAATTTACCTTATTAGGATAAAATTGTAGATTTTCTGTGAAGTTTGGAGCTGAGACCAAAGGATTATATTTTACCTCAAACTAGAAAATAGAAGTAAATTCTCAGATAATAAGCACTGTGTTGCCTAGAACAACAAAGGCCTTAGGTGAGAGGTGAATGTTTTCAGAGCTTTGCACCCTACTTCTGTGTGGTTTATCGGAAACATGGTGCCAACTCCCACTCCATTTTTTACCTCAACCCTGAGCCTTATCCCATTTCTTACCCTCAGTGTTCACCAGGAGATTCCAGTCAGGGGGAACAACTTGAGTAAGTCATGAAGCCTTGAAATAGCCTAGTGTGTTGATGGAACGCAACACAGTTCAAGTGAAGCTGGAATAGAGAGTGGGAGGAATTGGCAGGTTCATTCTGGAGCATCTGGAAAGGGGACCAGGGGCCATATCAGTTTTTTAAAATTCTCAAACTCTCCCTAATTCTCGAACTTTATGTTAAGGTAAGAATTGAGTTGAAGGGTAGGAGTAGGGAACAGAGAAAGGCTTTGTACTTTGTACATGATTTGATACTTCAAAGCTTCAAATAGGTGATAGCCATAGTAAAATGATACCATGAATAGAATAGCTTCTTATGTTTGAGAAATCGTCATATGGCAGTTGCTATAGTGATTCATTCACTTACCATTATTTCACTTACTTACTGAGTTTTTGCTATGTGCTTGGCAATGTACTTTCAGGCCACAAAAGACCCAGATCACAGATATTACAGTAACATGTTTGGTGGCCTCCACTGAAAACACAGGTTAGGCCGGGCTCGGTGGCTCAGCCTGTAATCCCATCACTTTGGGAGGCCAAGGTGAGTGGATTCTATTAGCCCACGGGTTCGAGACCCGCCTGGGCAACTTGGTGAGACCTCATCTCTACAATAAATCAAAAAAAATCAGCCGGGCATAGTAGCGCATGCCTGTAATTCCAGCTACTTGGAAGGCTGAGGCGGAAGGATTGCCGGAGCCCAGCAGGTCGAGGCTG